TTGACACTTTTCTCCTCATCACAAATCTTCTCTGGCAGCGAAGACACAGCGCGATAAACTTCAACAATTTGAACCATGAAGAAAACCGTTGGATGATAGAAACGATACTCGAATCTTTACTCACGTGAACAACAAAAGATTTCGGCAGACCATTTAGCCACACACGCCAACGAGATAGGTAGTCGCTGGGAATCTCATCATCCCAACCCAAACTCTTTCTGCACAGATCCTGAAGGAGCAGTTTTGCCGGAAGGATGAAAGGCGCTGCCATACCGAGAGGATCGTAAACTGAACTCACCACGGAAAGGATACCACGCCTGGTACAAGGTTTCTCCTTAATGTTCACTTTGAAACCAAATGTATCTGTCTCGACAAACCAGGATACACCTAGGGCTCTCTCTGCAGGAAGCACGTCGTTATCAAGATCCAGATCTTTAACACCCTTCGCTCTAGCTTCTACAGGAATGGATTCCAAGACTTCGCGGTCATTGCTGATCCATTTAGTCAAATTGAAACCTCCCCTCAGCATTAGCCGACGAAGTTCTTCCACATGTTTTATTGCAACAGCCGCTGAAGGTAAGGACTTCAGGCAGTCGTCAACGTAGAAATTCTTCAAGACAGTACTAACCACGTCAGGGGAAAACTCGTGCCTATGATCTTCGGCATTCCGTCGCATGGCGAAGTTAGCACAACTGGGAGACGAAACCGCACCGAACAGATGTACGGTCATCCGATACTCTTCTAATTTCTTAGAGAAGTCGCCACGGGGCCACCAAAGGAACCGTAGGAGGTCTCTATCTACTTCTGGGACACGCACCTGATGGAACATAGATTGAACGTCACTCATGACTGCGACTGGCTCCTGACGGAAACGGATCAGCACGCCAACCAGATTATTGGTTAAGTCAGGACCTTGAAACAGCTCATCATTCAGGGAAGTTCCTTGAGAATGGGCTGAGCAATCGAAAACGACACGTATTTTATCCGGTTTCTTATGATGATAAACGCCGTGGTGCGGGATAAACCACACCTTACCATCTGATCTCTCCAGGACATCCAGGGGAACCTTTTCTGTAAAACCGTCACCGATCACCTTCTCAAGACAAGCAACATAGTCCTCGCGAAACTTCACATCTTTAGAGAATTTACGTTTAAGATAGAGGGCACGGCGTTCTGCTTGACTCCGGTTTGCTGGCATCTGAAAGTTGAGGTCCCTTAACGGTAGAGAAACCTGATAATGACCATCTTCACACTGCATAACTGAATCCTCTACAATGTTCATGAACTTTAAGTCATCCCTTGACATGCTTAAACCATCGGAAAGAGTGGCATCTGCAAAATCAGCACATGCTATACACATAGGATGAGTCTCCTTACAGTTAACGAAGAAACTAGAAGATGGGACAAACTTTTGCTTTCTTCCAGTTGGGCCATTGATAACCCAGCCAAGATCAACTCTAGTTGCATATGGACCCCCATCAGAGGCAGGGACAACTTCTCTCGGTTGTAGGGCTTCAGGTACGTTTGCACCAATCAATAGATCCACCTCGGAATTCAATTCTGCTAGGTATACATAGCCTTGAAGGTGCGGCCATCGATCCACATCCTCTTGTTTCGGGATCTCATCTTTCACTACAGGCATAGAAGGTCGGGAAAGAACTTCTGGCAAGGAAATGACAACGTTCTCGTCTAGATCAGTCACTTCCAGGTTCGTAACAACGAGACTGTCCACATCGTTGCAGCTATCCATGGTGGTTAGCTTGATTCTCATTTCCTTGCCGCTGACACTCAGACGTTTCATCAGGCTAGCCGAGCAAAAGGTGGTGTTAGATCCATTATCCAGCAACGCATAAGTCTCCACGGACCGAGGACTTCCTTTGACTTTGACCTTCACAGCAACAATGGGCAATGCATTCACGGAACCCTCCATTGTGGTTAGGCCACAAAAGTGATCAGCTCTGATCTTCTCAGTACTGGACTGGTTGTTCTCGCTCTGAGGTCCATCCTTACCACGGTCGGACGCAACAATAGCTTCTGGTGCACTTACATGCATTACAGTAGCGTGTCTCTTATTACAGTGAATACAGGGCTTCCTTTTGTGACAACTTCTAGACTGATGGCCTCCACCTAAGCACGAAAAGCATAGCCTCTGCTTCATGACAAACTCCTGACGATCTGTAGGAGGTACTTTGGCGAAACTGGAACATTCGGTGAGATTGTGATCTGCATTACAAAACAGACAGTTCTTCTTAGAAGAATGAACTGCACTCAACACATCAGCAGATGAATTGAGAGCAGATTTCGTCTCGGAAATCGTGACGAGGCTTAGCTGTTTTCCAGCGGGTCTCTCAGACTTCGATCTCGAACCCCTATCCTTGCAGTTCTTCTTCTCCTTTTCCAAACAAGGAAGCTTGCCAAAAACTGGATTGGACAAGGTGCGAGCTTTCTGTTCAACGAAGAGTGAAATATCATCAATGCAGACATCTCTCGCTTCCGAGTTGAGGATCCGATCAGCGTTGTCCCGCCAACTGGCTTGCAACTTCGGGGGAAGCCTCTCAATAATCTTCCGCATGCTATCCGGACTTTCGAACTTGCTGGAATGGCCGATAGCCTTAAGAGTGTTTGTACAGCTAGAGAGCAAAACGGCAAAGCCTTCTAGGGCGTCTGCATCTTCAGCTTTGATGACTGGACCATTAGTGACTTTATCCATATATGCCATAGCGATTTTGTGCTTCTGTCCAAATTTGCTCTCTAAGAGTTTCTTTGCCTTTACGTACCCATCTTCGGCTTTCATGTAGAGGCAACTTTGTACCAACTCTTGAGCTCTGCCAGCTGTGTGCTGTTCGAGGTAATAGAGTCTCCCAGCGTAATCTAGTTCTCTAGTTTCGATTACGGTCTCGAACGCGCGAATGAAAGCACAGTAATGTAAAGGGTCTCCACTGAACACAGGTACACGTCTCCTGGGTAACAAGTTCCTTTGCTGCTGTTTCACGAACTCTTCCATTACTCGGTTCTGCTGGACGAGAATGCCATAGGCCTGGTCGCTCAGACCTGAGTTGCCAGAGCTTGAACTTGAATCACTCACAGCACCCTTATGATCTTTAACCGGGTTACTTGACTTCACAGACAATTTCTCTTTCTTATCGGCAGGTACAAATGACTCACGTTTTGAACCACCAGTCCTTGACTTTTCAGTGATGGAGGATACGACTGAAACGGGACAACGAGGATTCCTAGAGGCCACGTTGCTAGGCGCGAAATTACCCGCTTCAGCTTGAGCGTAAGCTTCTTCTCTAGCCACCGCTTTAGCGTACTCAGTTTTGAGGTTTAATTCATCTTTCTTCAACTGCAAGTCGTACTCTTGCCTCTTGAGGCGTAGCTCCGATTCCTGAAGCGAATGGCGGTGTTTCAAAGCGTGTGCCTCCGCTCGAAGTTCCGCGATGCGAGCTGCCTCTTTGGCTCTTGCAGCAGATATGGAGCTCGTTTTAGAAAAGTGACTCGTTCTCGATCCACACATGGATGGTCTAGACTTGCTACGAACCTCGGACCCAATTTGAGAAGCGCTGTCGTCAGGCGTTAACAGGTTATCTTGAAGCCTGGCTTCCGTGACACGTAACCAATCATTGACCGTACGGCAGAAAAAATCTAAACTGCTTTCAATGTCGGCGAAATAGAGGTCTGATTCTTGTCTCTGACTTTCCTCAACCAGAGCTACATTATACGCGTCATGAGCCTCGGTAAATCTTCGAAATAGCGACGTGATTTCCGACAGCTTTACTTTCACCGTCTCCAAATTATTTTCGTCCGTTAAAAGACTATCGATCTCTCGACGCTTGGACGTTAACGAAGACAACACTCCTCCTCTCCGCTTTCTGAGTTCACGGATGCGTTCAAGAGAGATTCCTTCTTGATCCAAAGAGGTATTCGGTTTACGAGCACGTGAACCGTTTTCGGCAGGTTGGCCGTTCTTCCCGGCCGAATAAGACAGGTAGACATCAGAACCGTTGCGAGACATCGACATAAACTTCCAATAAACCAGATTCGTCTTTTACAAAATATAGCCGCAAACGCTAATCACACGTATTTCAAACTTTACTAGAACAAACTTGACACATTGTTGAATACGGTAACTGAAAATGACAAAATTACAAACACGCGAATGAGCATAAAATAACTTGCATGGTATGAGTGAAAGTACTGGAAAACGACAAAGCGAGATAAACAAGGATACTTACAAGACGAATGTGACCAACCCAAAGACGAAAACATGAAACCCAGAGCTAGATATGTAACGGTAATTTTCACAAACTAGACAACTAACCAAATAAATTACGCGCAACCAATATATATACGATATGCAAATAAATATAACAAGTACAAAACTGGTAACTGACAAAGGACACTAATGGAAGACGAGAAAATAAACACCTAACACGAAACTATGAAACACCAACACTAACAAAAAATAATAGTACAAATTCTTGCGCCTACACTCACAGCCCGATTGCATTTCTTACCACTTTGGTTTCAAAACTCGAAATACCGGGTGAGCTGACAAGCTCTTAAGGTTCAAGGCTTGCCATTCTTGCGCTCAATTCTCCTTTCGCCCGTGCACCGTATTAGAAGGACATAAATTCTTGAATTTTTCGTCATATGCTCCCTACAGAAACTTAATAAAATTGGTAATGGTAGTTTGTGAGTAATGGGAGTCATGCATATTCCTTCTGTTCAACAGCTCAAGAGAAATCCTTGTTGGTTTTCCACGCTTCTTTTCCCAAAATTGACCATACAACACGGCAGTTAAGTAAAACAAAGGATCTTATTCAGCCTTAAGTCAGCATGAAGACAGAGAAATAAACTCATCCCCTCAAATGAGCGTGCCCCCAAAAAGAAATCGTATTCCTAACCTTGAATTCCCGAGTCCATTCCAGACTTTTAATTTACCCGTCTTGCAAAGCGGCATAGGCTTCGATTTCATTCCCCAATTCCTTTGCGGCCTGTTCCTCTTTAATAGCACGTGTTGGGTCGAGTATCGCCTTGCTTTGTTGGTGGTTGCGAATTTCGCTTTCCTCGAGGACCTATGCTTTGACTGTTTAGTAGAACTGAATTTTTCAATGTTAAGGTACAACACTATCCATTACATCATTTGTCTTGCAAGGTTGAGCTGAGCGTAGTCGGCGTTTAAAAAAGGGGAACATGTAATTTGAACCATGAAGTCATGGATGAGGTTTTCACTTGAAAATTCCACCGTGATGACTAGAATAATCCCAGCTCGCTTTGAGTTTCTTTACGGAAACGTTGAAGATAAAAGCATTCTCAAATTTTTCTCGTCTGAGTGGAATAATTGTTTATTTGAAGGTCGAGAGTGTTTCAAGAAGCTCATGGTTGATGTAAATTCCACGTACGTTCTAATGTCGATCCATTTTTTTAATAGATTGCGATAGTTTGGTGTTGATGACGGTTACAGAATGGTTCAGGAAATACTGCACAATCTGGAACTTTTTTTGCTGTCTAAACAAACTAAGGTATCACATGTAGAGAGGTTTGGTCAAATTTTTTCCTGAAGCAACGGGAATTATTCACACGTGCTGGACGCGCGTGGGGGTGCTGCTGTACATTCGAGTGGTACCGTAGCATCTCGTGTTACTTGTTGTTGGGTTGCCCCTAACCCAATGATGTTCTTGAAAACCTTTCTTAGTTGCAATTTGGAATTAATGCGTTTTAACTTGAAATCTAATGGATTATCTAAGAGTTTGTGTTTTAATTCTTGTTGTAGCTGTTTGGGTAGTTAATATGTCTGACTCATTACCAGAGTGCATTTTCTCTCTCTGGCATAAGGTAATAATTTTTTTTAGTTTCACTGCCGTTTGTTAGTTATTTCTTTTTTTGTGGTGATTGAAGTGGTTAAGTTGTTGGGGAAACCACTGTGATGACTCGAATAATCCCAGCTCGCTTGGAGTTTCACTACAGAAGCATTGAAGAGTAAAATATTCTCTGTAACACAGTCTGAGTGGTTTTCCTTGAATACAATTTTACTAGGATTTTATTTTGGTATAGTTTGTCATTTGAATTGTTTATTTTTTAAGTCTGTTAGTAAAAATGATTAGGGAAATTAGTGCCCCAACCTCACTTATGGTTTTCTTATTTTTTTAATCATTCATATTTTCATCAACTGAGTTGATGATGTATACTGGTTACCATAAATAGTTTCTAAAGCTGTCATTTTGTGTGTCATCTCTGCATCATAGCCCTTTTTCAAAGCTTGGATTGTCACCTTTAAGAAACTTTGTGATAGTCAACTTACATTATCAACTCAGTTTATAAAACCAAACAACCTTGCAATATTTCTTCCCCCCACCAGCCTAACACCATAGTTTCTTTTGAAACTTTCCCCTCTTATATTTAAAACTTTTTTCAACCATTCTCCTTTGTGTTCCAGATTTAAATCAACTTTACCTTGGAGACACCACCAATCTCACATTGTACTTTACTTGCAATGAGGTAACCATCACATTCTGGTGAACCTTATCAAGAATTCCTTTTAACTACTATAACAAGTATTCTATGCTGTCAATGAAGAACAATACGACAAGCATATGACTGAATGCTTCTGTTGAACTTTGATTATCAGAGACAGCATCACATAGTTAATGAAACAATTGTATTTTGTCTGTGCACTTTGTTTCAAGTGTTGTGAGTACAAAATTAGAGATAGGAGGTAGACAGTATCCATGTAAGTGTTATGCCTTTTGTTGAAATCATAGTTGTTACTTTTATTACTTTTAGAACTGAAAATTAATGAGAAGCATTCTTTGGCTATGTGGCCTCTGAAATTGAAACTGTTCAAGCTTTTAACAAAGGGTGCTATTTTCTCCAAAGACCATCAATGCTAGGCTTTTCCTTTGTTAGAGAAAAATTTATGCTGATGAATAGTAGGAAAACCTTCCATGCATTCACTACAGTGTATAAAAAGAGGCTTAGCAAATTTTACTCTTGATCCGAAATGGATTTGGTATGTTGTGAATCCAGCCTTAGATACACAGTAGTCAATGATGCTAGAATTTGTTGGATTTAAGTTTGATTTGCATGATGCAATACTCTTGTCTTGACTTCTTCAAGAAACAGTGAGCTTATACCTCTTTAATTATACTTAGAAAGATGGACCAGTGAGATTTTGTTGTGTTTGTCTTAGGATTTGGTCAACCAAGATAACTGTCCTTGTGGGGTTGTTGCCTTGTGATGCAGTGCAAAGGTTTTTATGTAAGTTGTTTACACTGAGCATGTTTAGTTGTCTTGATTTGGTACCATTTTTGTAACCCATGTAAGGTTATGTGTTTGTCATGTGATGAGATATTTCACAGACCTGTTCTGATTGTTTGTGAGGAATGTGAATATGTCTACTGATGATAAACTTTTTGCACAATGTAATTCTCCAATTATGATTGTATTTCAAATGAATGATTTAAATTGGAGGGAAATTGAAGTATCAAAGTTGTGATCAAGTTTAATTTTGCAATTGACTGTTAGAGAAGGTGGTGTTGGTTTTGTGAACCAATCTTAGAGCTCAAGGCAAAGCAAAATTAGTGTATCAGATTATTGTTAAGTGGTTTCAATTTTACCTCAAGCAAGTAATTCTCAGGTCTCATTTATAAAAAATGAAGAGATCTTTGCATTTTTCTTCTTTCTCTATAAAATTTATTTGCATCCACTACCCTCTGCTACAGCAGATCTGAAAATGGTTAAGGGTGATTGACAACAAATTCCCAACAGAAGGAAAGCTGAGATGTGCTTTGGTTCAAGAGGAAAGTCAGTAAGGTAGCTCTGAAAGGTGTGTTTATTCTTGTTGAAATATAAATAAATTAATGCTAACAAATGTAAAATATGTCCAGCTTAAACCCACTGTATAAAGCAGATGTAATCATAATCTTGATATGCCAGCATACATCACCTATATTTTGAGGAGTCCTTCACTGTTGATAAAAGACTCAAAATAACACGGACTGTTGCAACATTTGTGCCATTTTCTTTTCCATGACAAGACATAGTCCATGCTTTTGTGATATTTTACATTCTTGTTAGCCTTAAAAATTCTCCATCATCACACTTTATTGTAGTGAATTCTTGTTTCTATCAATGTACGTGTACATGTACTTTGGAGTAAGAACATTGTGATGGGCAGTGAAGAAATGATGTCTCGTTCGTATGAACACCTGATTAAAATAACCTCACAGAGCTCTCACAATATCAGCTTTTATTTTCATAATAAATAGTGTGGAAAGGGGAAAAAATTAACCAGTATGTTTTTTCTATTCCTCAGTTAGGATGAACAGAATATTTTATCAGGTTTGAACATGTCTTATTTCATTTGCACAATAGTTAAAATTATCTCCACAAACTCAGCTTCCAATTTTATTTACATTGGGTTTTGTTTTGTTGTTTGCTTTTGATTTTTTTTTCTTTCTTCATGTTTGTCTTGGGAAATCTGTCTTTAATTTCTCCTGGATCTGTCTTGTTGTTATTGTTAGTGCTTTGTGGTTTCACATCTTACCAAACTTGTATTGTGGGACTCTTTGCTGGTTGTTACTCCTGTTGACAAGTCTGAGGTCTTTTGGAGAAAAACTGCTTTTGAACAAGACAACTACATTTACACAAGAAAATGCCTTTTAATAAACTTAAAGGCACAAAATCTTTAAAATACTTGGGTACACAGATATAAAATAACCTGTATGAAGATGTAATTTTGTTCAGGTGCTTTTCTGATTAGAGTGTATCAACAGAATATAACATATTTGGGGATACTTACTTCTTTATCTATTCTTTTGTATTTTACAGCATAAAGGTGAAGGAAATCCATATAAAGCATAAGAGTATTCACTCTTTTAGGGGCAGAATGAAATCCAGTTCTAGTCTTTGGATATTTTTCTTCATGATCCTTATTCAAACTTATGCATTATTGTCTACTCTTAGTGTTAGAAAATTGTTTTAAGGTTAGAAAATAAAGAATATCTCTGAAAGAGTTTTTGCTTACAATAAAATTTTTTTAATGCTTACAATACAACAACAGAGACATGTGAGGAACTTCTTAAGCGTGCTAAGTTACCTACGCTTCATAATAGACGCTTACAGGACATAGCAATACTAATGTATAAAGTAAAGAACGATCTAGTACCTAGCTACATATCTGAGATATTTACTCGAAAAGGTACTCGTTATAACCTTAGGAATAGTGACTTTGAAATACCACGATTTAATACTATACGCTATGGTAAACACCCACTTAGGTATCGAGGACCATATATCTGGTCCAAATTAGAAAATGGTATGTGTGAACTACCAAGCCTTAGCATCTTTAAAACTAAAATCCGTAGAGTTGACCTGGCCAGCCTAGTGGAAGACAGTGGCAACTGCTGCAATCTTTGCAGCACGTGATTTTTTCTAATTATATGCATTGTACAAGTATTTTTATGTTATCTGAACATTGTTAATATTTCTAAATATGTTTAAATTTTAATGCATAGTTTATCGGCTATATTGTTACTTATTATGATACTGTACATAGTTTTTTATTAATTTTGTAATAGTAGGTGTCCCCAATTAGCTCTATGAGCTAAATACATTGACACGGTAATAAAGATTTTATTATTATTATTATAATCTTAAGCAAATGGTTGTTTGGTCTTCTATCTTAACAGTAGCCAATTGTCAACCTTTGTTAAAAATAACTTTGCTTATTTTGCAAATATTCAAGAGTCATAAGTGGTTGGATAGTGCATTTTGTTTGGAAAGGAGAACATTCTCAATTTTGATGGCCCATTGCATTTGTAGAATGATATAAATATAACTTCAGGGTACAAAAAAGTATCTGGTTTGAAGTAACTAAGCTTTCTATTGCTCAACAAAAGTCTTAAAGCTCTCTTTTACAATGTGTCTTATGAAGGTGGAATGCAAAGTACTGGTAGACAACTGTGCTTGATCAATCTCCACTCCATAGAAAGCAGATTCAAGTGAAGATGACTTTTAGCCCCTTAGGTTAAAGAATATACTCCTTGTTAGTCCCACTGATAATTTGTTGCAACGTTACAATTTTTCTACTGTGGTCTCAAGGTGACACATTATTAGTCCATTACTCTGGCCAGCGGAATGGTTTGAGAAGTTCTTAGCCTGATATTCTAATCACAGGTCACTACAATTCGTGGTGGGATTTTTGTTAAGTGTGTCGGGAAATTAAATGAGTTCTTTCTGTCGAGCGCTTGGAATTGATGTCGATGGGTAAACATTCCCTTTCCGGTTCCCTCGCCAACCCTCTTCGGCCTTAATAGAGTTGGTACGATGTGGGATCATTACACAACGTCCTTACCAAACAAAAATGGCGGATGGGACGTCTTTGAAGAAAGCATCAAAAAGTGAACTGTTTTCGTGGGTAAGAAAGGCGTAATTGACCTTAAATGTAACTGCAACCAAAAGCAAACAAGGAATTACAATCAAATTATTTGCATCGTGGTATTTAGGGGGCAAACAGCTATGGACAACTTTGTTGTGGCCACAAGAACGATGTCTCATTTCCGGAAAACGTCGGTGCAAGTTGTCACCTAAAAAACAGTGTTGTAGCGGCGATAGAAGGAGGTGGAGGACATACAGCAATTATCACAGGTTATGTACCTGGAGTTTTTCATAAGTGTTCTGATTTTGTGATCTGGAAATGTTTTTTTGAGGCCATTACCATGTAACGCTTTAACTCCTGCACTGTAAGAGTGACCCAGCATCTTATTTCCCTTTACAGTGATGCTGTTCAGTGATTTACTAAGATCATGAGCGTAAAGGAAGTGATCGCCAAGCTGTGATTGTTGAACAACTTGTCCTTATTAGTACCAAATAAAATGTATTGGGAAGAGTGTAGAGAATATGGGTACTGATGTTAGGATGTAAAGGTTAAAGGAGCATGATTCCTTCAAAAGAAGACACGTCAGTTGTATTTCAGATCCTTTGATGACACTTTGGATTAAACGCCATTTTTTCTGGATTATGACCATTTAGGGAGGGAGTTTTTGAAATCACAGGACCTGAATCAGGTACTGTGGTAAACACCAAGTTAAGTACTGAGTTGGATCTTTCCATATTCTTCTTCTTGTAGATAATTTTGTGCATGTAATTCATCTGTAAGCAAGACGTCCACCCATTTTCTTTGTTGTTCAATGCAATTTTCTCTCTCTTTCATAGAACGAGAGCCCACTGTGTTCCCAGCAAATGCTGGCCTAAAAGTAACGCTCTGCTCCTGTACCATACTTTTAACTGTGCTTTGGGGTAAATAAATAGCATAGTTGCATCCATAGTCCTTCATGGAAAATCACATATCATATCTTTAAGAAAGGAGAATCTGATGCCCAAAAATGAGTTTGTAGTTGCACAAGTAGATGTTAAATCCCTAAGTCAACTTGGTCAGCTCCAGAGCATTACTTATCACCATTTTTCTGATTAGTTTTATTTTTATTATTATTTCTTGCATCCTTTGCCTTTTGCGTTAATTTTCAATAAAGTCTACAAGTCCTCAGCCTCTACGTTCGCTATGAATGATCAACTAAAAAGGTTCAAAGTAAAAATGAAGGAATGGTAAGGGGCCAGCTTTGTTGGCTTAGTTGAGTTGCGGTCAGCTAAGCATGTTGCCAGCAGAAAACAATCATAATGTAAATTTCCTTCTGGGTTGGAAACCAACTGTTTGAAGGTGCTTCTTTGTTTACTTGTTTTTATGATTGCACCATGATTGAAGGAAGTTTTGCATGGATTGAAATGTCCTTGTGTGATTTTTCCTTCCTGTAAGATAAAATTGGTGGCTGGTTAAAAGATATGTGTAAGTCTAGGCTGCTGTTGAATGGTGTGCCAGTTTTTCATGAGAACCTTTTTAAGATTCGATATGGCTGTATTATAAGTGGTAACAAATGGTAAAATTTCTTTCACCTTCTTTGTTTTGTTATGAAGGGTCTTTGTTGTGATGGAGAACTGAACTTCAGAAAGGATTTTATGAACAAGCGTCATAGGATAGCCTCTGTTACAGAGTCTTTGTCAAAATTCTCCTTACTAAGTTGGTTCTTAAAAGACTTAGTCCTTCTCCTTTGATAAAACCCCTTTTCATATTAAAAGGGTGGCAGGATGAGAAGTGTGTACACTGAAAAGTTTCAGTGGTTTTACAGTGGGATTGTGAATTGAGAATTTTAAGAGTTGAAAAATGGGGTCCTTTGAATATCTCTGTGTCAAGAAAAACATTTCACCATTTGTGTGACATTTCTATCTACCTACCTTCAATAAAATGACAAGGTTGTCCTTAATCTCATCCAATAATTGTTTTAAATTATTTTCAGACAAGGGCAAGCTGTTCATGTGTGGTTGGAATAACAAAGGTCAGCTGGGACTTGGTGATACAGAGGATCGTCAAATTTTGTGCCATGTTCAAGGTCTCAGTTGTGTCAAAACAGTTTCATGTGGATGGAATCATACCTTAGCTGTTACTGGTAACACTGAGTTTTAAATTTGCTTTAAGTACATTGCACAGCACATTTAACTTGTTTAGCTTGATGACTCCCAAACAATAAATGCTTCTCTTTTTCAATTAGATCATCAATTACTGTTTGTGCATTACAAATTTAGTCACATGCTATCAAAATATATCTCATATTTAACATTTTTTGAGTATTTTTTCTTGTAACTCAATCACAATATATTTGTTGAGACACTCTACCTTCACCTTTCTCAATTCAAGTGCTTATGATATCCATGTCTGTGTTACCTAACTTTTATGGAAGTTCCATACCTCCAAAAATCAATGGTTGTATAATGAGGACCTCTGAACTTTGCTCAAGTCTTCCAAAGATGAATGCCAAAGGTTGCTGAAAGAATCAATGTGTTAAAAACAAGACTGCTTTTCTCATGGCCGTGCACTCAGCTCTTCAATCAGTTTAAATTTGGTTTTATCCTCACTCAATTTATTTTTTCAGATGCCGGTTTGTTTGTTTGGGGCTCAAATGCATTTGGACAACTAGGTATAGAAAAACTTGGTGGTCACATGACCACACCTGCAAAATCTCAGGTATTCACAATTGTGTGAATGTTCTTTTTTGTTTTTAATTTTATATTGAGCTCTACGTCAAAGATAACATACAACGCATATCTTTTGTCTTTTATGTTCTTTTCAAAAATTGCTTTTTAAGTCCATAAGCTTGACAAAAATTGAATTTCCTATTCTTCTTTCTAACTCTTAAAAGTACTGAGGGATGTATTTTTGGTCATGGTAACTCACAACTGGCTGGTGAGACTGGTCCATTCAAAATGGAATCACTGTCAGAACCTATTAATTCAGATCAGCTGATTCTGAAATTTTGATCCACTTCTGATGGAGTTTTAGCAGAGGGGTATCCAGTCAACTCACCGATGGACCAACTCGCCGATGCCAACTCGCCGACATATAAAATCTAGTAGAGACGTCGGTGAGTTGGTCCTCAATCCAATACAACTTATTAGAAGTTAAATATACAGAAAAGTAAATGATATTTAGTAAAAAAACACTGGTGAACATTGGTGAACATCAAACAGAAGCTTAAATACTGGTGAACATTGGTGAACATCACCAATGACTATAACAGCTTAAGACGCGAACGAGTTATTGTGCGACAACAACACCGTAAAGACATCATGTCAATCGCTCAGATTTTTTAAAGAAAACTGGGCTTTCTAGACAAGATCTTTAGTAAAAAGCAATTCTTTCTATTTGCAACAAAGTTTATAAAGATATCAAGGCGAATTAAGTGAAGTAAACACCGCCAATGAACAAAATTGGCTGTAGACATGAATGAGTTGTGTGACAACAACATCGTAAAGACTCATCATGTCAATCGCTCAGATTTTTTAAAGAAAACTTGGCTTTCTAGACAAGATCTTTAGTAAAAAGCAATTCTTTTAATTTGCAACAAAGTTTATAAGGATCTCAAGGCGAATAAAGCAAAGTAAACATCGCCAATGACTATATCTGCTTCAGACGCAAATGAGATAATTATTGAGTTGGACTGTTGGCAAGTTGACTGTAATTCAGGAGAGGTTTGGAAAAAATTTAACTTCAAGGCTAGTTATACTTGATTTCACCAGTCAAGTTACTAAGTGCAGAAAACAAACATCTTCCCAAAAATTTCTATCAAAAACTCATTTAGCATTACACTGTAGCTAACTGATTCACACTTTACTCCTAGATAAGTGACTGATTATGGAGCTTACAGTAATTCAGATGTTAGAAATTACAGATATTCAAAGTGAAATTTGGAATACTATTGATCAAGAAGATGCTTTCCATCACAAATTTTAAAAAAATGTGACAAAAAAATCATCCCTTGTGCTCATGAAATGTTGCTTAAAAGGGCTTAAGCTTTCAGTCATAAATTTTTTCATATACTCTTGCACAATACTGCATTTATGCGGTTAAAATATATCAACAACCCTTTCCAGAAACACTTTCAAGGGCATATACCTATTTTAAAACATAGGATTACCTCACTCACAGGTATTTTGTGGGAGATTATGTGTGTTTTTAAATGTAAAAAGATTAGGAGAACAAAAAAAGAAATTTGCTGTATTTTGTTTGCATGATTAGTAACTGGGATACCTGGAGAACTTGGAATCGGGTGTAGTGAAAAAAAGAAATTTGCTGCATATACCTATTTTTTGTTTGCTTTTTTGTAGGGTGGGTGGATTACTCTTGCACAATACTGCATTTATGCGGTTAAAATATATCAACAACCCTGTCCAGAAAATAGCTGTTTTCTTGATTTCCCAATGCCATGTTTGTTCAGTCAGCAACTCAATCACTTCCAACAATGTATAGGAATTCTTCTTTCTTTTTCTTCTTTATCTACTCTCTAGTAGTATTTCACATATGAAGAAGTCATCAGTACTGCAGCAGGACTAAGGCATTCTCTGGTTGCTTTGGGTGAGTCAGACAAAGCTTTACAGAAGAAATATATTGCAGAAAGTGTATTTTTTATTTTGCCTCTGAGGTTCAAAGGAACAACAGAATCTTTTTTAAGATTGACTGAGTATGTACTAAAAATAGGATTTTGACAGAGACGTTTTGTAAAAAAGTCACAAACCTTGCCAGTCGTGCATAATGTCCTAGGTTTGGGTTACACTCTTCATTTTAGCTCAAGCTCTGGTGCAGTATGAATTTTCCAGTACAACCATGTTGTGAACTTAAGTCTGTTACACTACAGTTTAACTGCCAGGTTATTGAGCAATGTAACAGTTTCCATAGGCAAAGTAAGGGTACACTTTCAAATCTCAAAATTCAGTCACTAAAATAATTTCCTGTACACTTTTTGACAACAGGGATAAAAATTAACCAGCTTTTAGAGTATACTTCTCATTTAAGGATTTCACCAGATTAAGGGTAGACTGCGTTACAACCCTAATGGTGCAGCTTTTGTTCCAAGAACATTATAAAAATTTGTCTTTAAAAATTCATCAACAGAGTAGCCTTTCCTCCCTGTACCCAATCTTTTCTCACTGAATTCAGTTTGTTTATGTGGGATGGACTGGTTGCCAAAATCTGATGAACACAACTGGTGAATTTATTTACTGTTCACACCAAAACAGCATGACATTCTTATTTTTGTCTTTCAGTGTGCTTCAGTTTCTTGTCATTAAAACTTTTTGTAATAGAAGTATTGTATGCATTTTTTGGACACACCATACTTAAGTTTGCTGGGAAAACCCTTCTTTTAAACTCCTGCTACCTCAACCAACTTTTACTGCCCTTGGTATTCAAGATGATGGGGTCTACACAATTGTCTTTTGGATTCTGTCAGCTGTTAATAATTATGCATTTAATTAACAGCTGACAGAACCTTGTGCATCATATTGTACATGTCGTGAGACATTTACAATATTGTGTTTTGAAAATTTAAGTCTTAGACAAGTATCACTTGCTATAACCCTTCACTTCCCTTACAGCTACTATACACTCCCTTGTGCATTGTTTAAGAGAACCCTGTTATATCAGGAAGATACCCTCAGAGCTGATAATTTTAACCCCTCACCACATATTTACTAGATCATTCATTGATATTGAAAAGAGAAGTTTATTGGAAGTGGTTCATTGCACACCATACAATCTCACTGTTGACATCTCCAAATCAGTAATGTTTTTTCTTCATCTTTCACATAAGCTAATGGATCTGTGTGGTCTTGGGGAGCAAATAAGAAGGGACAGCTTGGCATTGGGAAAACTGGTGGCAATTGTTCAACTCCACAACAGGGTTGGTGTAATATTTTTGCCTGTGATATTTTTCTAGTGCTGAAACATCATGAAATCTCTTTATAGAGGGTGTATATCAGCACTGTGGTATTAATAGTTCTTCAAACTTGCATATAGTCTTGTTCTCAGATGGTCAGCAGATAATTGAAGTTGTGGCAGGAGCATACCATTCAGCAGTATTAACAAGTAAGAGTTTATGAAAGTTATTTTTTTATTGTGTTGATCTCTTTTGAAAACTTCACTTAGCCATTGTCATTAGAAGAATTTTTACAATTTTTTCCAGATTGTTCAGTTTTTTTTCTCATTTACATGTGTGTCGATATGTTTGAAAATTACAAAGAGTAACAAATTGATCTTTGTGGGAAAATTGTAACACACAGTTTTCTATTGAGTGTCAAAAAACCAAAATGAAAGTAATCAAAACCACCAATTAGAACAAAGATTAGCATCATGAACCAATTTGAACTCAAAGTATAGGGCAGGAAACCTGCTTGAAGTGCTGGAAAACACAGCTGACCAAGTTTTGAATTTTGAAAGATTAGCATCATGAACCAATTTGAACTCAAAGTATAGGGCAGGAAACCTGCTTGAAATGCTGGAAAACACATCTGACCAAGTTTTGAATTTTAGTTGTTCAGACAGTCGTGCAGGTTTTCTGGACCAATCACACAGCATAGTAAAGTGAAACCAAAGCAGACCAGGATCACTTTTGACTGCTCAATTGAAAATTGTTCTAAATATAGAGAAAAAAAAGGGGTGTCCTGATATGGCTTCCCTCCCCTCCCCAAAGTACTGCTTCAGCTTTACTGCCATGAGGTGACATGTTGTGAATGAGGATAGTTCAATGTGATGGTAAATCTGAATATGCTCAGCTTCAGGTCATGTCTTCTGTTGGGGCTCAAATCAACATGGACAGTGTGGCAAACCTCCAGATATCCATTCAACTGAACATCAAATATTTATTAAACCACAGTTGATTGGTGGATTATTAACAAGTGTTACTGTTACACAAGTCCACACAGGCTGGAGCCACCTGCTGGCTGTCACAGGTAACTTTGCCATCCCTTGAATGAAAATATTTGTCAAGTATTATTTTAAGAATGAACATAAGATATAAGATGATAAATATTCAACAGGAAATATACATGTAGAGTGATATTGGCAATAACAAATCTTATGCCCTAATAGCATGAATAAAATTTGGTTATGGTACTAATTGTACTTTGCGTACTGTTGGGAAAGCCTGAAAATAGAAATTTCAATTTTAATTTTTCAAAGCAAAACCATCTGATGTTCATGCAACTCTTGAACACCAGAATGGTAAACTAAGTGCAAGATGCACCATTTTGCAAACACTGTTGATTGAATACAAGTTAGTTGTCATTGGGAACATAGTGATAACTCTCTCATGTTAATCCAGATGGATAGAGCTACAGCTATATGTAGGGGGAAAGCCATTAGATGCCTTAAATTTTATCAGCTTCACAGTTTTACCATACTTTTGATGCTTCATTTGTTCAGTTCATGCACAGTTTCATTAATTTGATATGTGTCCCTACAGAAGACATTAAAGTGTTTTCATGGGGCCGTGCTGATTATGGTCAGTTAGGTTTGGGTGATGATGTGGTACAACTCGGCTTTAGTAGCGAACCAGCAGAGGTTGTTCGTGTCAGGGGAGCAAATCAGGTATAGCATTTACTAGTTGACTAAAAACCTTTAAAACTATAGTTTTTCATAGAATATCTAGCTGTATACAGAAAACTTAAGTACTTAAACTGCTGTGTCCTACAAAGGATCACAATACTTCTCCTCTCTGTAGTTTTGAGAGCAAAAGCTAAATGTACTTACAGTAGGACAAAGACAGACAGACAGATCAACAGAAAGATAGAAAAAGAAGTTTATTTACCTTTTAGTATTGTAAATCATACATTTGTGGTTTTCTGAGGTGGCAGAATACAAAGCTCCACTGTAAAAATTGTAAGCATTCTGATTGTCCTATCTGCTACATTTAGGTTTTGTGTGGTGCTGAACACAACATGGCTCTTTTAGGTAAGTAACAAATTGACATAGTATCTGCACATCTTTCCTTAATGAAGCAATGTTGTCCATGTCTGGCACAAAGTTTGAAAAAACCCTCTGAATACTGAATACTAATGATAATTCTTTCTTTGGGGAGGGTGGTGTTAGCTGACTTTTCAATCACTGGTGTGTGATCCATTGATATTGTAGGAAGGCATAGTATGATACCTTTGGTAAGGTATAAGTGTCAGTTACATGATATACTGATCACAAGTTTACTCGTCTTTTAAAATTTGTGTACAAACATTGAATTCTTCTATTCTTAGATTCTGGTTCAGTCATGACTTGGGGTTGGAATGAGCATGGAATTTGTGGTAGTGAAGATGAAACTCGAAATGTTCATCAACCAAGTGTGGTTTCTAAGCTGCATGATTATATCACCTCTTTAATTGGATGTGGAGGAGGACACAGTTTTGCTGTTGTTAAGGGATAGCGATTTACCCACAGCTTAGAAGGAAGGCATGGTCATTGTTACACACAATCTTGAAGATGTGGTGACCAGTACCAGTACCCGGTTTAGTACTGGCTGAGGTTGATTTGGTGGATTGGATTTCTGCTGGTTGGAAGCACCAAGTTTAAAACAGATCTTGTCAGTCAGTCAATTTCCTATGAACAAAGTAAGGCCATCCACGTTCTAACCTTCACTTGAAACATGGCCCTTAACAAGGAGTCATTTTAACAATTGGAAAGTGCTTTACTGGCCATTGCCAGCGTAATGAGAGAGGGTCAAGTGAGGGGGTATGTGAGGATCCTCTGCCGAGAGTAGGAAAATTTTGACTGTTGGATTGAGGTGCCCGTGATTGGTGTTCCTATATTTGTATAAATAGTACTTTCTTGGTTGGATTTTTGTGCAGAGCTTAATAATATAGACATTATAAAAAGAAACACTGCTTCGGCAAAGCCGTTACAAACATATTTGGTGGTATTATTATACATTCAACTCACTATCTCTTTTCTGATTGGCCGAAAGCGTACTGTGATTTTTCGAAATCAGCGCCAAGGACCTCATCTAGCTGCAGATTATACAATAATCATTTCAAGGACACTCGAGGTCACGGGTAATCATGTCATGTATGACCGTGGTGCATGATTTCTAGGGGTAATCATGTTAAGTTGGCACGCTCTGTGTTGCTTGCTGATTTGTATATTTTTACACGTTTAGAACTGAATTATCAGTTCCACTTATTATTGTGATTATTCTTTTTCCGTTCAATGTATAATAAAATAATTTTTTGATTCGGTTTGTGTGATATTCATAATAATCAAGGTCTCGGTAGGAGTTACCAGCCGAAGCCGACGGCAGAGGCTCATAACCCCTTCCTCAACGTGCACAAAGTCGTCACTTTAAAAATATGCCTCTAAACAGGGTGTGGTTTTCATGGTAATTTAGTAACATAACAAGATGTACAGTTACAACGTTCATTGTATTAAACAGGGCGAAATATATTTTAATACGGTTTAAGAAATGGGAGGAGGCCAAAATCTTTGGTAATATACTAATTTGTTATGTTTAAATCTATTCTTGTCACATCAAAGAGGTCACGTTGTCACCCTAGGGTGAAAATAGTCGACTTCGCAAAATAGTAACTTCCTTGCGAAATGAACAAAAATCCTTCTCATCAATTGACAATTACTCCAAAATCCTTGTAAAAGTTATCTTTACCTTATTGAAAATATATCTACATTATTCCTTTAGTTTCGCTATATCTCGCTTGGTTTGGTTTGGTTTCGCAAAATGGACTAAGCCGTCAGGGTTGCGAGTATCGCCGGAAATCATGTGAATTTCCCTCAAGGGCTACACACGACACCCCTGAAATCTTCAGCAAGCTTTATAATTTATACTTCTCTTAAAGAAAGATGAAAAATGTAGTGGTTGCTTCCCAAGCTGACACTTAAGCATGTCGTTTTCAGAATTTGGTTTTGAAAGACTTTTCCCTCTTTTTTTTTTCTCGAAACCTGTAACACGTGTGGTCTGCTTACTCGCCATCGACGGTAAAACCGCGAGAGTAACGTAATGCATGAGAAAGACGATGCCTTTGATGTATTCGTCGCAGTCAAAACGTAATTTATGGCTTAATACGAATTTATTTTTGAAAATCATTCCAAAGTATAAGTCTTTGTCATTCTTTTCCGTTTTTTTCCTAGGGAGTAACTGTGATATCTGTGAAATCTATGAATTGATAACTCTCCACCAGAAATATTACGCTTTTCACGCACATGTTGTGAACTATGTAATCCATAAAAGATGTCGTAATGCAAACGTAAAGCGAACGAAGAAGGCTTTTCCAGCCCTGTACCGTTATGACGTTTCGTAACAATGTTGATTCGCATCAGAAGAAGCAAAGATTTATTGTAACAATTTCAATAGTTCAAATGCAGTAGTTTTTTCACATCTAATTACTGCGTATACTGTACGACTCGCTGTAATGAATGCGGTAGAATTGGAACGAAATGGCTGGTTTTTTTTATATTTTTTTTTACCTTTATTGAGGAAATGTTGTGTTGTGATTGAAAAGAACATCGACAAAAAAGCTTGCAAATAGAATTAGTTACCAAATATGATACAAAGGATGCTTAAAAGGAAAGTTTGATAGGGGGTCCAAATCTGCGAAGGGGGGTCCATATCCGCTAACGGATTTGGACCGGGGGTCTAAATTCGCGGTGGGTCCAAATCCGCTGTGACACCTGGAACATTTTAACAACACGATGACTCTTGGAGCAGGGTCGTATTAGGAGAAGGTCGCACGAATTCAAATTCTTCCCATTTTTCGCCTACCGATCATTCTCAAAATTTCTAAATTTGGCGTTGGTCGCATCAAACAAATGTTCTTCGATCATAACTTCACTGAGTGATTCATGCGTCAATCACAAACTCATTTCGCTCTAAGAAGATTTAGGAAAAAATCTCGCGCGAAGTGCTGCGGAAGAACTGATCCTTTTTTGTTTTGCTGATCTTTTGCATTTTTGTTGACACTTGTGCTACTTGTGTTGGCTTGCAACAGAAGGAGAATTTGCTGCCAGTATAACCATTTTCAGGGTATGAGTTACAGTCAGTTTAATAAGCGGCGCTCAAATTCATTTCCCTCGAAAGCGAGAGGGTCAGATCCTGCCATTTCACGCCAAACTATACTTGCATTTTTTTCTGATGAAATTGATCCAGACTTATCTTACAAATCATGACAGTTTAATGGTCAACAAAAGGTGTATGTTCGTTGGCCAAAAATTTGGAAACCTTCGAGGCAGGACGTCGGCTCCTTTGAAGATTGGCGAAAATTTGGCGATTTGCAAAAATTTGACCAATTTTTCAATTTGGGGTCGCTTTTATTGTACGTTACTTGTTGACAGATCTTCCATCTAGACAAACAGGAAAAGCTCTACTACGACTCGGACTTTAGGCTGAGGAGTATACAGAAGAGGGACCTGGGAACGACGTTCAGTAGGCGCGCAGTAAATACACAAAGTATTTTCTTTCTAATCCGGCGACTTAAATTTCACACCGCGGGATTAGCATACCACGTCCTATCTTCTTCTTTCCTGACCCATCCCGCACTGAAGCTGCCATGGATTATCTGAGGCTCTTTTACTTATTTTTCGGTTAGTGAACTAAAATTGTGACATGTAATGAAATTACAAGACAGAATTAAGCCTTACAAGTGTCGTCGCACATCAGCGCATTTTGATAAAGGGGATGTAATGCTCTAATTGCGTTATTTTCAGTGATCCTGTCCTTCGCTTTCCATGGACGTTGCAAGGTATCAGAGCATGTCAGGAACCGAAGGGTAAGTGACTCTGTTCTTCTGTATGTAATTTGCAATAAGACTGCAACAATTAGCTACCGTTTCGGAAAAAAAAAAGGTGAGTCAGTCTAGCTTGAAGAAGGTTGCTGTCCACAGACAGTGAATTTTAAGGACCCCAATTTTAAATATTTTTAGATCTTCTAATTTTGATAGGCTACTTTAATTATTGTATTTTACCACATTTCATTTTATTCCATTTTACGCACGACCCCACAAGCGTGTAGTCGCTTTAACAATTATCGTGCTTAAATAAAGTCTTTGTCTTGTCTTGTCTTGTCTTGGTTGTTATATGGGTGGCGACTCGCTGCGAAAATAGTCACGCAAGCATGATGCACGCAGTGTTTGACGCTGTGTATTCTCAGTTTTCAAAGTAAGAGTTTCATATCAAAGGAAGAAACCTTCGTTTATAAATAAGTAAAAGTATTCTACCAGGCAGATCTAATTTACGCTCCCCCTCACCTCTCGGCTCGTAGCCATTCTGTGTTAGAACAATTGTATTAGCAACATCAAAATGTAATGAAACTTCACTTAGATCTTTTAAGTCATATTCTGTAATATTGTCGAACCCTGAGGCATTTCAATGGAATGAATCATGAAGTTATTTGAGTGAATGTTTGCGGTTTCCGTGTAGCCTCCATGGACCTTCAAGGCCGACTTTAAAGAAAAGGGAGAAGTGAGAGGTACTCAAATGTGTGCCCGATTCGAAAACGTTAAGATCCTAACGTTTGTGGTTCGCGTTCGTACTGATTTTTTCCCACCTCTCTTTCCTTTGCACACCAGCCATGCTGGATTCGACTAGCGATTGAAATAATACTCAGAAAAACAAGGTATGGTTGAGGTCTCTCAAAAAGAAAAGTGCTCCTTTTTTAGTAAAGAGGAAGTTTAAGATATAAGCAAAGTTAATGGATTTGGCATTTGTTGCTGTATTTTACGCGTGTGCTTTGAGGCAATGACTACCAACAGCGTTAGGGAGTCCCAAAGGTTAAATTCATGCAATAAAAATGCACCCATGTGTTTCATTTGTTCGACGAGTCATATTTTGACAGTATTTTGACAGCAGCAGAGCTGTTGCCATAGGAAAGCGTTAAGGAACTAACAGACAACGCCTGGGAGATTGTTTAATAGAATAAACAGAACTGTGAAGAATGCAAAGAAGGGAAATCAAAGATCTCCAAATATCCAAATTGGTCATTTGATCTTCAATCATCTGTAACATAGTCTATTGTGTAACATTACGGCCGATCCGCACTAGCAAAAAAGTTGTTTGTTACTGGGATACCTGTGGTAGCCCAGTCATAAAATGCCTTTGTTTTTTTGTCGTCTTTTTTTTTTTTTTTTTCCTCCGCCACAAAATGGAAAAATTGCGCAATAGTACCCAGTGGTCATTGGGCCCTCAACACCATGACAACTAACTGTGATCCAATGAGGGTGAAGGTGTTCACATGCTGATCACGTGTTATCTTGATGATGATTGACGTTGTCATGCACGGACAGGTCCGGGTCACATGACGAACACGAGATTTTTGCTTAGAAAACTCTTCTGTCGGTAGATAGGGCATACACCTATTTCAAACATATGCCTATGTTTGAAATACGTGTATGCCCTAAGCCAGACTTGAGCTCACTATTTCAGTAGTACGACACCCGTAGTGTCACTACACTTGATTCCAAGGATCCAGTACCATCCAGGTATCCCAGTTACCCTGCTCACAGGGTCTAGTTCAGACAAAATTCCTGTCATCACCAACCCTCTACAAGTGCGAATGGTTTGTCGCGACTTGACAAATTTTGGCCGAAGCGGACAAATCTTCAGACGCACCGCCGACAAAATTTGTCCAAGGTAAACACTGGACGAAATCGTTTAAATAAACAAAATTTTGTTTATCTTGTCATTCATATGTCATAAAAGTTTTTAACCGTATAAACTTAGCGTCTCAGTTGTTTCTCGTGTTGCGAAACTAGATTTTAAAATTTTCGCAGAGGATAAAATGAATCCTCATGGCTGGAATTTAAACCCATTGGCAAGCTATCCCTCTGAACAACCGTATTCTGTAAGACGCTGGCACGTCCCCACTTACGATGACCAGTTTAGCCATCTGCATGTTGCAGAGAAAAAGGAATAGGAAAGGCAAGCTATGACAAGTGGACAAACGAGGAGCAAAGTTTTCTAGTTGATCTCTGGGCTGAAAAACACAACCGTCTGGAAAGTAAGGAAGCAAGGAAGGATTGGCTTGAAATCGACAACGAGATTGAAATGAACTTTGGCACCAAAAAGACAGCCGAAAAATGCCAGCGAAAGATCAAATATCTGATTGACAAATATTAAGACGCAAAGTCATGGAATAAGAGTCAGACGGGAGGTCACAAACGTAAAAGTGTTTTGTACGACAAAGTAGACCGAGTTCTTGGAACACGAGATATTGTTACCATGAAACATGTGGTCGAAGCAGGGACAAGCACTGCTTCTCCGTCTTCTCTGAGCGCAAACCCTCCAAGTGATCATGATGGCTCACAGCCAAGCACGAGCGGAACGCCAAGTCCTCCAGAAAAAGTAGCATTGCTTCTAGTGGCACCAGTGGGACCAGCAAAGAAAGGAAGCGCACAACGAAGAGGAAAGTGCCGACCGAAGACGCTGGAGAGGAAGGGGCAGTTTCCATCAAGAAAAGCCTCGAGTCAATAGAAAAGTAAGGCGAAAAGCTCACTTCGTTTATGGAGGGTATGCAGCAGAACCACGGCAAACAATTAGAAATGATGGCATCTTTCATGGGCTCTCCTCTGGAAGCCATAAAGGATGAAAAATAGATGCCTAGCAGTTTAACTTTTTACCAGTGGACTGTTCAATCTGATGATTCATATTGTTACAGTTTGTAGAGTTTATATAGTTGCAAATATATCTTTGATTTTTTGTTATTATTAACATGGTTTGATTCAGTTTATAATATTATAGAACAGTTTCGTCTTTTTGATCGTTTACAATCGTAGGAACATATTTGAGTTCCATTTCAAATGATCAGACTTGATTTATTAAAGTAATTTTCGAGTGAAGGACGGATCATGGATAACATGCGTGATTCAATTTATTGTAATTTTAATCATTATTCAATGAAGTAAAAAATTAAGAACACGACAGCAATAGCAAGCAATCATAACTTAATTCTCGATTTTTTTTTGTTCTATATAGTTCACTGAAATTGTAATAGTGTATGAATTTTTTGTATTCATAAATTGTATTTGCGTGCTTTGAAAGGAAGAATATCAACTAAATGTTGTGGTTCAGTCACGCACTCTCTTAACACACTTCGAACATCGTCCCCATCCCTCACAACTCCATCGTTGTTGCTTTCATGTCCTTGCTACGAGGGTCATCATTTTCATCATCACCCCATTCGTCTTGATTCAGTAGACAAAAGTTGTGAAGGACTGCACAAGCAACAGCGATTTTGTTGGCAAATGAAATTTTACTATCCAGCCGTTTCCCCTGTATACGCCAGCGATTTTTTAACATCCCATAAGCGCACTCTACTGCTACCCTTGCACCAGACAAAGCTTTATTGAAAGCTATTTCTTCTGGATCTCTCGTTGCTTCGGGAAATGGTTTTCTAAGCCAGGAGGCAAGTGGGTATGCGCTGTCTCCAGCCAGATAGGGTTTGATATCATTACCCCCAATTTGCACTGAAGGACCCGTCAGAATCTGATCGTGCTCTGCAAGATCAAAAATTGTACTATTTCGTAGGACTCTCGCATCATGCATACTGCCTGGAAAGCCAGATGCAAAGTCAAGGAAGCGTTTCCCGCCATCGACAATAGCTTGAACAATGAAGTTGTGTTGTTAGTAGCGACTGAAATAGTCCACCGCACTGTCTGGAGGGGCAGCTATTCTTATATGGGATCCATCAATTGCACGAACAATGTTTGGGAGATAAGAAACATCTTGAAATGTCTCTTTGCAATGCCGTGTTTCTGCCTGTGTGATGGGAAACTTTATGTAATCATTCCTGAGGTTGAAAAGAACCTCCACAACATCTTGCACTGCTTCTAGAACAGTCGACCTTCTAACGTTGAAAACCGGCCCAATACTTACGTACGAGTTGCCATGAGCTAGACGGAACAAACCAAGCGCGAGAACCTTTTCTGGAGCAATGCAGTCACGCAATCTCGTATTTTCACGAGTTATGGCTGGCCGTAAGACGTTCAACAGAATATCAAAGGTACATCGGTTCATTCGTAGTTGCTTTCTGAAATAATCCCCGGGAATCCTTCGGTCATTGTAGTGAATCTCAAACCAAGACTAGTTTGATCTTGGAAGTTTCCAAAAGTATGGGTTGTGTAGACGTGCCCGGCGTCTCTGTCTTCTACAGTATTAATCGTTAAGAGGGCCACCTGATTTCGAAGATATTGATGCCTCAACAACAGGCACACCATAAGGAGTATTTCGTCTGCCCTCTGAGCGATATTTACAAGAAAGAGGAATGCAACAAGTAACAAAATTTGAACGCGCTCTATTACCCCGCCAGATGAAGTCAATGTTTTAGCGCGCAGCAGAATTAAATAAATTATAATGAAATATAATATTGACGGTGTTAACACAATTTGAAGACTTTAACCTTGTCAATGCGGATGCAACAGACGAGACAAAAATTGTCACGACAAAATTTGTCCTAGGATTTTGTCACGGACAATTGCGATTTTGTCTGCTAGCGCGGATCGGCCCTTAGGGCCGGCTGGCAAGTTATCAATCTGTCAACAAGTAGCTGAAGATAGGTGCGACCCTCAGTTTAAAAAAAATTTGCCAAAGTTTTGTGAATTCCATACATTTCCCCAATCTCTCACAGAAAACAAGGTTTCCACATTTTTTGCAAAAGAACTAATTTTTTTTAGGGAAAGATGTTTTTCGTCTTGTCACGAGCGTGGTACAAAGAAAAAATTCTTAGTCTCCATGAGGATTGAAACCTCAGATCTTCGGATTTCGCGCTCAATGCTTCACCACTGAGCGTCCTGCAAACTACTATGATCAGCAGGGTCGATAGTGTCATGTTTGTAAATAGAATAAAAGATGGTAAGTAGATGGTAAGTTTTGAGCTTCGTAGAGAAATAGAGAAAGATGGTCAGCAGAGACTTTACTGATCCTAGCAGTATGCAGGACGCGTATCATATGAACTTCGTAATAGACCTCACTCAACGTAGAGTCTCTGTGGCTCAGTGGTAGAGCGTCGGTGGTGTGGAATGCCCCTTTGTTACCTTTGTAACCATTCTGTTACGCTCTGCCTGAACGCCCTAGCCCTAGCCCTTTGCTTGACGTCCTTAGGGACGACTTTTAAGGACACTATACGACCCCTCAGGCAATAAGATATGATGCTCGCCGGCCAATTAGAGAGATCATAGCAGCACATGAGACGTCACACTTGATTCTCAATAAGTTGAACCTTCCTGGGAAATTGAGAGAGATTCGAGAAATGGGTGCGCAAGTTATACATTAAGAACAAATAAATGTGAAATTGGTGTTTTCTGTATTTCTATTCGCGCAGAGTACATTTTTGTTACTCTGTAGAAAAGGTTGAATGATGTGGACCATTGTAAAAAGCTAGTTCCGCATGAATAAGAAAAATTTTCGGAGCATAAAGTACTGTTTAAAGTACTGTGGGACCTGTTGCAAAGGAGCTTCTCGCTTCCAGCTCTTAAAAAGGGAAAAAGCTTCGAGAGATCTTGAATCGAGAGATTAGTGAAACTTTGGTTGAAGAAAAATTCGACTAACGAGAGGCTTTTTTTGAGCAACTCGTCTGGTTAACTGGAACTAGGCAATTATGAGTTGAGTATGGATACTTGGGAAAATTGAGTCTTTTCTAGTTTACTCAACTTGATTGGGAGGTTTGTTTGTGTAGTTGATTATTTCAGTACTTGTGTGGCATAAGTAGCTTCAAGAGAAAATCTTGGTGATTTTTTATCTAACTCGGGCGATAATCGATGTTAAAAAGATTAAGTGTAAACAAGGCGTGGAATTGCGCCTAATACAGGCGCCAATGCGACTAAATTTTTAAACTTTGGCGACCAAATCCTGAAAATTAGTCGCCAAATTGGCGACTATAATTTTTCATCATAACCTCACCAAGAGATATAGTGAATTTAAAAGATTTGCAAAGATTAATCCGCGGCAAACTACCTCATTAACTTTGTTTCCAAAACGCGGCACATGCATCTCGATCGATAACTAGACGCCATCATGGATTAAGGTGAGCTTGAGCTTTGTATATCATCCATCCTACTGTCCACTTTGTGGCGCGTTAAAGATATTTTCCCTAACTTAAGTTTGGAGTGACTGTCTAGAACGCTGACAGAAAGGTTTTGTTTGTCTTTAAAAGTGGGGACCAACATTTTTTGAATTGGCTACCACTTTGGAGAATCCAGGAGCCAAGTGGCCATCAGAAAAAAAAATTTATTTCACGCCCTGGTAAAGCGTGTTTAATAAACACGCGACGAACATTGGTGTTCGCGAATTTCTTTATTTCAATTCTAATTATAAAAATAGGACTGTATTTATCCTCGAGCACAGCTTTACTTTGCGACTTCCTTTTTAATTTCAGGCTCCGTCCCCAGCTCTGCCCAAAGTGAATACAACTGAGCGTCTGAGACAGCTGCGAGAGAAGATGAGAGCTGAGGGCGTACAGGCATACATTATCCCCTCTGTTGACCAGCACATGGTAAGCTATTTAAACTTGCAACTCCACACACAGGTTTGACAATAACATTGTTGCTCTCTTATTTATTTCAGAGTGAATATGTTGCAGATCACTTCCAACGACGTCCATACATATCTGGGTTCACGGGCTCCGCCGGCAAGTACTAGTAGTGTACTAATATATATCGGATATATGATGTTTGCTGTGCCTGATGTCTTACTCAAGACCAAGGGTGCATTTTTTCCGATAAGGATCGGCCCAGATTAGTAAATAACGTTTTTTTTTCCTGCTGTTTTTCATTTCCCGCTTTGGAACTAATGGCGTGAAAAAAATTTCGGACCGTGGTCGGTATTATAAAAAGCTGGACCGGCTACGAGCGCGTGTTTGGCCAATCAGATTCGATTATTAAAGATTCCTGCCCGTTTAGATGCTTCGGAAAAATAAAATATAATGCTATTCCGGTTGTCACAACAATGCGCAAAAATTGATTTTCGGCTCCCAAAATAAAGGCTATGTCTAGAAATATTGCTGTTCCATCTAAGAAGTAATAACTGACCGCAAATTAATAGGAGTGTTTTAGTCTATCTGATCACGCTTAAAACTAATAAGTAATTCTTTTGACCTGCGGATGGCGGATGATATACAGATAAAGAAATGATCTTCGCAGCTGAGCTGCTAAAAATCCTCTCCTCGACGGGATTCGAACCCATTCTTCCTAGGCTTGTTTGTTGTTACCATCAACCGAGTTGCGATGCCTCATGTTGAGAGCGAGGTAAATCTTAGTCTCTGTCTTTTATTTCTATTGTATGTCACATGTAGGTGATGCAGTCGTAACAATGGACAAAGCTGGAATGTGGACTGATGGTCGGTATTTCAATCAAGCTGGTATGCAGATGGACGACAATTGGACCTTAATGAAAGACGGTAAGCTGTTCATAGTCCTTCATTTATAGTTAGCTTTTAACAGAACAGCAGGCATTTTTTAACCGAACTCGTTGCCCGAAAGTACTGGTTCTTGGTTAGGAACTTAACGGGTTCAAGCTCCCCTTTTCGTATGATATGCTTTTGATTAATGAACGATTATCGATGTTCGATCTAGGTATGCCAGGCACACCGTCGCAATCAGAATGGCTCGCAAAGGTAATGAAGTGCTACCCTTATTGTATGTGGAACCATTTGGAGATTGCGCCATTATCGCTTGATTACGTATTTTTAAATATTCTTCATGTCCTATTATTTGTCACTGATCACCATAAGAAAATTAGAAGGCATAATTTTTTCTCTACAAATAACGTTCTTTTAGAAAAGTCCATACAAAAGGCTTTCTCTCTCTCAAGGATCAAATGACAGGGATAGTCTATGGCATTTTTCATGGCCAAGCCATCTCATCACAAATAAAATGAAAGTGGGTTTCCATTATTCACTCCAGTATAAACGAACCCAGTATGTACCTTTGTTTATAATCATGACGTCAACTAACATTTCATCCGCATTCTATCCTCTTGTATGCTACTGGAAGGGTTTGGTTACAAATTTTCCAGCCCCAAAACTTTACGTTTTCAAATGCTTTATCTTACTTTAAGCATATGAACCTGCCCAGATTTCTTCAGAAGATGTTATTTTTCTTTAACTGTAAAGAACAATTTAGAGTCAGTTAACCTCTAAATATAACTATTTTCTTATGCCGAAAGAACCAAATGTTCACAATAGTGTTAACAAGGGTTCACCTGAAGTTTTGTCCAATACGTTGCTTCTTGGAATTTACCAGCGTATCTTTGATCGTTTAAGGGAGATAGTATGACGAGATACGTGACTTGAAAATCTATAACTTTACTTATATCTAGAATATATCTTTCCTAATTTTCTTGTTGTCCGGTAATTTATTGTAGGAACTCAAAGTCAATGATAAAGTTGGAGTTGACGCCAATCTTTTCTCCATTGGTGAGTTACGAATAGTATTGAAACATTCAGAGCTATTTTAAATAGGGCATCCAAAGTAATCCGGAATTCCTTTGTATTCGTTTTGCTTCAAAAGCCCTCTGATTGGTCACCCGTGTTATTCCCTCAACCAGTAACGTGAAAAAGGTAAACAAATTACCCTGTAGTCACTCACGTCTGTGCCCGCTCCAGGTACTTCATTTGGGTTCTTATTGCCTCCCAGCCATATCCTCGTTGTCCAATTGGTTTTCAACATTACTTAGGTCTTGCTTAAATTGGGGCTTAGGTGGTCCTGTGGGTATTCCACTGGTTAAGAATTCGGGGTAGTTGGAGTGAGTTACACGATAAATATAATTGATACCAATGATAGTGATAATATTGTTTGAAATACTTTGATTTTTGCAGATAGGTTTGAGACCATGCACAAGGTAGGTAGAAATGAGGGATACTTTTAGACAATTAATCCACTTTAGTCGAAGATTACGAGTACGTTACGCATTGTTAAAGTAATTTACATGTCCCAACATACTGTCTGTAAGAACGAAACCTTTGAGAGTTGGACAAGAATCAAATGTTTGAATTCTGAACTGTTGATGTCGGATTTGCGATAAGAATGACCTTTCATTGTCTCATATAGCTTTCGCTGTTCAATTTTATAGGAGCTT